AATGATTTACGCAAGAACCGGTGGCTAGTATTGTTGTCGCTTCCGAATGTCGTCGGTGTGTCTGTACATACGGATGGGTCACCGTCGGCTATCAGTATACTATCTTCGTCATTAGGTTTATTTGCTCCAATACACTCCGCCTTTTCTTGGATCCCAGTAGGCTTATTAGTAGTCACATTGTCCGTAGAACTGGGTTGTATACCCTGTTCTTGGTCTCTAGAATGCTCTGTCCCAAAAGTACCAGCTTCAGCTTCCTCCTCTTCATCATAATCAGAGTCTAAGCAGCCAGTAGGCCTCTTTGATGTGGGATTAAAAACACCATCTAGCATATCCTTGAAGTCGATGATTTTTTTCGTAGTGTGCGGGTCGAGCTTGCTCTGCAATGACAAAAAAATTAAAGATCAAATAATTTTTAAAAATTTAAATGTTTATTCAAAATCATTGTCTGATTTTGTATTGTTGTCACAAATGGTTGTTGTGAATCTTTAATAAATTTTTGATTGCAGACCTGAATCAATTTATCGGCCAATTCCTTCATTTCATTTTTAAGTTGTTCTTTTTGCACGTTCACTTCCAATGTCAGTAACTCTTTGGCCAAAAGCTTGCAAAGTTCTTTGTTGTTAGCATTGGAAACCATTTCATTTAGAAAGGTTAATGCCAATTGATTATGGATATTTTCTTCGTTTTTATTAGCGCCAGAGTCTGGCCGAGTAGCATCGATTATAAATCGTGTTATTGTGTCAGGTCTGATATCGTGCAAGGGACTATCATAGGGAGCTGACAGGATCGAGTTAATCGTTGCCATTATGCAAACCTGGAGCATGGCTTGTTTTCTACTCTGTATAAGATTTTCAAGAAAAATACCCAAAATTTGGTTTATTTCAGGTTCTGCGAAAAAGGAACGAGAAAGAAATTTGAGAAGAAGTCTTAATACGAAATCGATGTATCTTCATTACCAGTACTAGGGTTAAAGTAACGCGATAATAACTTTTCCATTATATCCCGATTGTCGATTTGGCCATGCAAGATGAGACGGCAGAATCCATTAACGATTGCGCTGACTATACAAGCGTCCTCGCATGTATCCAAAAAATGTGACATCATATAGATAACTCCTACACCTTGGCCGAGACCCGTGGATAGTTGCTCATCCTCACTGCCGTCTACAAACTCCAAAGTTGTATAAAGCTGGCGGCCAGCCTTTTTAGACTTGCTTTGTTCGTCCTGTACCACAAAATTTTCAACCCCATAAATATCAAGTAATTCGAATATGCAAGTAATAGCCGTCTCCCATATACGTATATTATGATTTCTAAAAAATTGCGAATACAATTCACTAAATACATCTTTAGCCAACGGTTCATAGTGCATACTAAAGGCTGCAGCACATTTCAAAGCCCAGTCGCGTATGCTAATTTGGTTAGAAGCAATATGACGAAAAATGAAATCCTACATATAATGAAAAACCACTTTTTTAGATATGTCTGCTTAGGAACAAAGAGATAAATCAGATTACTTACATGATAAAGACGGCATGTAGCGTGGCCTAATGACGTTACACGTTTGGAAACAACCATGTGAAACGCAATCTGTAAACTACGCAGTATGCACTCGCTCTTGACGACCTTAGAAAATTGAGGTTGAGCGGAAGCACTTAATGCACCATTGTATCTTTCTAATAGGGGTTGAAGTAAAATAGTGAACTCTTCAGTTGCCATATTTTTTTCTTCGACAATTTGTTGAACTCGCACAGAGTCTTTCTGTTGCGCAAAATTCATTTCCTGTTCTTCCAAATCGAGGATCTTCACTTTTAGAGAAGAGAGTTTTAGATTTAACTGGGCATCGGTTGAATTGGCGAGCAATTCACTGATGAGATGTCGATCATGTACCAAATCTTGCTGTTTGCCATTCAATCCACATATATCGTGTATTATATCCAAGAAAAACTGCAATTGAAATTAATGCATAAGTAAGTTCAATGAATGAAACGAAAGCAATTTATAATGTGTACCTGATGTCTCGCATTTTGATCTGTTAACAAATTTTCAGAGCATCTAATCATTACTTCAATAACTTTTTCGTTCAAATTAAAATTCGTCACAAGTTTTGCTAAAAGTTTCTGTAGGTTCCCTCGGCCTATTTCATCTCCCAAATCAAAGGAGTATAAAATTTCTACAAGCGATAACAGCTTATATTGGAATTCCATAAGCTCGAATTTATCCATTTCATCCTTTTGCATCTGACAATAAGTTTCAACATAGGCACAGAATATACTTAATTCGGGTAAAATAAGGTCAAGTTCCTCGACCATATCAGCTTGAAAATATTCCACCAAACATTGCCAGTAAAGAGCCATTTCCATTGTGAGTTTTTCGTGAGGTACACACCTATAAAAGTTACCTTCTGTTTCAAGGACTAAGTATGATACCAGATCAGCATTTTCCTGTCGTCTGAAATAAAGGGAGCATTCCATAAATTAGACAAAAAGCATACATTTTTATATCTCAAATCGACTAACTTGAATATATCCTTAAGAGCTTGTCTTGAAATTTTACGAAAACGGTCAATCTCGGCAGGAGTTGAATCTAATTTGAGAGCTTCAATCAGAGCAACCAAATTTTTTTGATACGACTCGATCCATTGTTGTAGCATTATATTCGTGACCACTTTGCGAACACAATCCGAACGATCATTTAAGCCTTGCTCTAGTAGCGTCAGCCGCTGCGATACCTTGTAAGAGCGAACAGGATAACTGCTCATGTGGAGATAAGTATGGCGTCGTACCTTTTCATCAATATCCGAAAGACGATCCAAAATGTACGGAATCGTGTGATAATTGCGACCCATACACGTAATAACGGTTTGACGTACTCTGGGCGAAGGATCGGAGCATAGGTGGTATTGATAAATGCGTAACACGGCATCGTCCGGATTATCGGGTACTTGCAAACGTTGCATTGCCAAGATAGCTTGGACGCGGACATTGGGCGACACATCAACGCAACGACCTACCATATATTCCATAATGCTGTCGCAAATTGGATCATCTAGTGTAGCTTCTTGACCCAAAGCATTCAAGATCAAATTAACAAATTGACATAAACGAAACCGAATATTCGGATTATAGGAAATTGTCTGAAATGTAAAACGTTTCAAATTTTATGTGGGCTAGCAATTTTACTGCAATAATTCACCGTCAGAAGCCATCGGAAGACGTCCACCATTACAGGATGAGTTTCCTCGCCTTCGAAGGACGTAATAAACTTGGCGCAGAACATCAGAGTCATGTTCGCGTATTCATTCGTCTCATCTGCACCCATAGCCGTTTTAATCATTTTAACAAATGTGTAAATAAAACCGTCATGATCCATCTGCAATTTTTTTATGTAAACTCATTATCATAATAAAAAACTAAT